TGGACCCCTCCAAATGTGTGTTCTAAAATTTAAATTAAGTAATCACATTATTTAATATTTAATTAATTCACAGTTAATTATTCATGAGTGTTCTATTTAGAATTTCATAAATTTAAAATTCTTATTTTGCCTGTACTATCTTGTAAGATTACAAAGATGACGCATAGACTCATGAACCTATAATCCCGAGCTCCAATAAAATTAATAATTAATCAAACTCTTTAATTAATTAATTAATTTTATTAATTCTAAAGTTACTCCACTATAAACTTGGAATTGCACTATCGTAAATATAGATATAATTTAATTTCAAACCTTAAAGTGTCCATTTAATATAGCCATTACATATAGATCAATCTTGCATAAATAACTCATAATTAGAGTCAGGTGAAATCCGTTAACCTCTCTAATTATATTTTTATCGTGGAGTACCATTGATTCTCTAATGAATAGTGATTCATTAAATAAATTTATGAATCAGAGCTCCTATTAATCTAAGTATCGAATCAGCCCTTAAGAAAATTATTTATCTACTTCTTTATTAAGAAGAAATGGATTCCATCTCGTATATTAATATTCCCGGCTACCCATTTCATTATGTCTTCAAAATACCAAGAATAGGATTCATCAGCTTAAAATCCGTACTGAGTAAATTAAAAGACACAAATTCATAAATATGAATCTGCTAATAATTCAGGATTAAGATCATTCAATATATGACCATTGGTAGACTCAATTAGAATTTCTATACTTAACGAAAATTATCAGAAATTCATATTGTGTATGTGTCCCGGTTCCACATAATCTCATTATACGTAATACACTCATTCAATATCTCTCCATATTAATAGTAAGGATAACACTATTCCATTCTAAATCGGAATAACATGTGTTAGTAATGTCTTAATTAAAGATTCCGTACTTTAATTAAATTCATTACGAACATCGTTTTGATTATTATCCTTAAATATTATCCTCTCGCATATAACACTTATATGTAATATTTAAGGTCACATAAACAATCACAGAATTTTCAATGATATTCATAAAATATTCAATAATATATGCACATAAAATAATGAATAAACACTTTTTTAAAATAAATAATAAATATTATATTACATCTCATTCTTTTAAGACACCATTCCTAACACATAATCGCATGTTCACCTACGTAAGAGGCTATGGTAATGATGAAATGTTAAGTGTCGTACCGCCCTCTAGTCATGAGTACGCAAGGAATATCCTTTAGATTAATTTCACAAAAGTTAACGATGATTTGAGACATGATGGAAAATGTTATAATTATATGAAATAAGTACGAGAATTTTATAAAACTGATTAAATATGCTCTGAAGTTGATAGTATCTATAATATTATGTTTCGACACTTTACATGCAAGAATATTTTTAAAATCGTTTAAATTAATCCCGCAACCTTTAAAAATGAGGAATGGCTAAGTTTAAAACTATGTTCAAAATAAGTTTAAAAAAAATACTTGAAATTTTTGTAACTAAGTATTTTACTTTCATGATGTTTTAAGATTATTGTATTTTCCGCATTAAGTCACGATTAGTAATGGCTCAGGAAACTGACTCGTTACAAAAAATAAGAAAATTATTTATGATTCTAATTTCAAATGCTTAATTTTTGTGTTCCCCAGAAAAATTTCATGCTTTCACTTTGAACTTCACTCTTATCAAATTGAAAATACGAATAGTTGGTTTACAAGTTTTGCGAATATAGAGCTTTTCTTTGCATTTTGGGGCTTTTAGGCAACCAAAAAAAAAAAAAAAACATTGCTCTATCCATTTTAATAAATTTAGGCTTAATTTCTGAGATATACTTCCCTAAGGAAGGAGTGGTTCTTGTGATTCGATTTTGAGTTGTATTTGGCAATCGAAATTTTGTTCACAATTTTTTGGTGACCGTGAAATTGCGCTTCAACCCAAGAGTGAATAAACACTTTTAACATTTGACCGTAAACTTTAACCTAATGATCCTCCGGCTTCCACTGATTTCATCGTCTTTTTCAGTCAATGGTTATATTGTTTTTAAAAAACTATAAAATCATTAAATGTATCACATGATCAAAAGCTTTAACAATTTTGTCATAAATTTTACCCGATATATCGTACGCAATACCAACAATAGCCTCTTTGATCCCAAATACAATAAACTTTAACTTTAATTGTTAACTATAGCATAATAATCGTTTACTTCATGAAAGGATTGCCACTTTCTTATTTTCATTTTACGATTTTTTAATTGAAGATTTGATGTGGAAAAATTAATTTTATAATAAGTTTATTCACTCATTGTTACATTTACAATTTAATCAAAATATTTCTACATTTAATCGTATCCTTATACATTCATATTTCATAAAAACTAACATACTTATTGTCCACTATCGTTCTCTCTAATTAAATATGAAATTAAATAAAAAAAATGAAATGGTGCTATCAGTTTTTTTCCCCTTATTATTAATCCTAATATTGAAAAAAAAAGAGAGAGAGAAAATTCCTTCATTCATTCCACGATGCTTTTAGCATTAAAATCTCATTTGGGTCTAAATCAAATTAGCATGTGGTGAATTTTGAGGAGTTGTTGGTCAAAAGTATCGCTCTCTCTTCCTTCTGAGTATTCTCGTTGGTTTTCAATTCCAAGTTTTCAATCGAAGTCTCAGCAGAATAGTCGGTCAAGTGTACATCATAAAAAAGTACCGCTCTCTCTTCCTTATGAGTATTCTCGTAGGTTTTCAATTCTAAGTTTTCGATCGAAGTCTCGGCATAATAGTCGGCCAAGTGTATAGTATCAAAAAGTACCGCTCTCTCTTCCTTCTGAGTATTCTCGTCAGTTTTCAATTCCAAATTTTCGAATCGAAGTCTCGGCAGAATAGTCGGTCAAGTGTACAATATCAAAAAGTACCGTTCTCTCTTCCTTCTGAGTATGCTTGTCAGTTTTTAATTCTAAGTTTTCGATCGAAGTCTCGGCAGAATAGTCGGTCAAGTGTACAGTATCAACTTCGTTAGAGGAAGCTGGAAGGGCGGATGCCTTGAAAGAGCTAACAGTGCAAATAGTTTTTGCAATCCTAAATTATGTGTAAAATTATTTAAAAATAAATAACATGATATAATTGACGAAAACCCCATGCATGATAATATTCTCTCCCCCACAGTACGATGCAAGCAACCCCTTAACAAACAAGACTCCCAAAACTCACGATCGTAAGTGTTTCCACAAATCAGCACTAGAGTTGAGCTTGGCAATTTTACAAACATTTGGTGGTCATAGTTTAAGCAAAAGCAACCCAAAATCACCATTATGCATAATATCTTACACAAGATCAAGCACAAATACATTCAACTATCAACAATCTCTCAAATCCTCAAGAACCCATAACCATAAATTGTGCAACCAACAATTCCCCATTACTAAGTAAGAGGCATCCAAGTGTTGGAAAAATGGCTTCATAAGCCATGTTAAAGGCTCATTTTGAGGCCCATATTAAAATGAGGCTCAATTGAATTTTGAGATGGGTCTCTATGGATTTGCGTTCTCCATCACAAGTAAATCGAAATCGGATATTCACACACTCAAAATGGATATTGGGTGAATGAGAAATTGATGCTCTAAGTAAGCTACTTGGAATTGTTAAATAAGTTGAAAATTGCAAAAATCCCACATTGATTAGGAATAAAGTCTTGGTGGTGTATATAAGAAATTGCACTTTGAAACTTAAGTAAGCATGTGTACTTAAGAGGCTCTCTAATGCGCAAAGGGAGTGCGAATCATGACCTTGGTGGGTTAGGGGCTCAATGTGTGCGTCCGCAATCTGCGGACACGAATGTCAGACTGAAAAGCCCACTCCGTGCAAGTCTTGTTTTCTAATTTTGTTTTATTTTTTTTTGTCCAAGACCTTCTAGCCATTTTGCCTAAACTTAATGCTGTGCTTAATGGTTGGTAAATGAGCTTTATTTTTTTTTGTCCAAGACCTTCTAGCCATTTTGCCTAAACTTAATGCTGTGCTTAATGGTTGGTAAATGAGCTTTATGGTGTGCTTAAAGGAGTGTAATAGGATTTAATGAAGGAAAACTGAATTAGGCTTAATGGTCCAATGTGTGCACCCGCAACCTGCAGACATGAATGCCAGACTGAAAAAGCTCACTCTGTGCGAGCCTTGTTTTGCAATTTTGTTTTTGTTTTTTTTTTTTTTGTCTAAGACCTTCTAGCTGTTTTGCCTAAACTTAATGATGTGCTTAATGGTTGGTAAATGAGCTTTAAGGCGTGCTTAAAGGAGTGTAATGGGACTTAATGAAGGAAAACTGAATTAGGCTTAATGGTGAGCTTAATGGCTTCGGTTTTCTTCATAAAAATCCGAACCTTGATGTAGAAAGGTGTCTAGATTCATCCTGATGAAATTGAATGGATTTTGCCCCGTAATAATGTGTGTTTAAATCTCATTAATTCATGCTTTGTAAAATTCTTTTTCAATGGCCTATATAAAGAGTTTTCTACATGAAGGAAAGACACACTCTTCTCCTCTCTCTTGTTCTCGAGTTCTTCTTGTATTTTTCTTTTGTAGTACGGATTTAGTGATAGAGGAAAGATCCAAGTTCAAGTTTGTTGAACAATTCTGATAGTGTTTCGCGCTACTATCGTTATCATTATATCTTAAAAAATGGACGTTTAACGAACTTCAAGTACTCACCAGCAAATTAGAAGCCCAATATATGCGCCTGCGACCTGTAGACATAAATGCTAAACTGAAAAATCTAATCCGTGCGGGCCTTATTTTGTCATTTTGTTTTATTTTTTTTTTCCAGGACCTTCGAGTCGTTTGGACTGTACACAAGCGGAGCGCGTGACTAACTAGTATTAATAAGACTCAGGAAAACAAGGGAATAAAAAAAGGTGTTGTTAACGCGTGGCCATGTTTAACGTCGACAGATCCAAGTAGTTGAGGAAAATCCAAACGCTATAAAACCCCCGTCTCTGACATTTGTAGAACTATGTACAGCCCTCTCTCTCTCTCTAGAATCTCACCCCTACAAACGCCACTAGTTCTGCGTGGAAATTCTTTCCTTTGTTTGGGCAAAAGACCTTCAGAAGGTACTGTACAAACATTCTTTTTTTTTTTTTTTTTACTTTTTTGTTACTGCATATTTTCCAGGTTTTCTTGGATCATTTCCATATGAAAGTTGCTGTTTTAGAAAGATTACTATGACATTTCTCTCTGTCTTTGATCTTGGTTGCACAATTTACTCAGCTGTATTGGAAACGATACAAAGTTTATATGGGTTTGACTTTTGAGTGGAGAGATTAATTTTCTTGATCTCTTTCCTTGTTTGTGAAGTTTGTCTTTTTTTTTTCCTTTTTTTTTCTTTGTGTGTGTGTGTGTTGAATTATTAATTTGCTCAGTGGGGGGTTTTTCTTTTCCCGAAATTACCATGCCAATCCGCTTTTTCATCCGTAAAAAGAAGAAGGAAAATTGAAGAAATACGAAAAAAGAAAAGGATGGGAAATATTATTATTTATATTGTTAAAGCTTTTGATCATATGATACATTTAATATTTTTATAGTTTTTTAAAAGCAATATAATCGTTGGCTGAAAAAGACGATGAAATCAGTGGAAGCCGGAGGATCATTGGGTTAAAGTTTACGGTCAAATGTTAAAAGTGTTTATTCAAGTGTTTATTCACTCGTTAGTTAAAGCGCAATTTCACGATCACCAAAAAATTGTGAACAAAATTTGGCGATCGCCAAATACAACTCAAAATCGAATCACAAGAACCCACCCCTTCCTTAGTGAAGTATATCTCAGAAATTAGCCTAAATTTATTAAAATAGATAGAGCGATGTTTTTTTTTTTTCTCCTAAAAGCCCCAAAATGCGTCTATGAAAATTTTTAGAATAGTCATTGAGGGCCCCTTTAAAATTTTTGATTTTAACATTTGAAATTTAATTTTTTTAAGAGAAAAATATTGTAACAAAATAAAAATTATGGATTTAAACGCATAAAGGAGCCTTGAAAAGTGAAAATTTGAGATACAATACATGGGGTGTGTGGAGAGAGAAAAAATCATTAATTATTTATTATACAATTTAATTATGTAATTAAGTCTGTTATAATTGTCTCTAAAATGAGAGGGTCTTTTTTATTAAAAAGTTTTAATTGAAAGGGAGTGTGGAGAGAAAAAAAGGGATGTGTGAATAGAATCACCTTTTGCTTAATGAACTCTTAGAAATCCTACTTATTTCTGGTGCCCAGATGTGGATTTTTTCTTTGCATTTATCCAAAACTAGATTGAAATGAAGTTATGCACTCTTTATTTGAAAATCTTTTTTTCGGCAAGTTTTGTTGATTCTGTGTATGTTGATTCATTCTCCAGTGAGTCACCAATGGTTTAAACGTGTTGATGAAGCAATTCTTTCCTTTGAAAGAAAATGAAATTTTTTAAAAAAATAAAAGGTTTCTTTCTTATACTTGGAGTGAAAGACTTTGGATGGTTTATTTTCCATTGTTTTGAAAACACAAAACCCCATATTCTTTTTATAGGAATTTTTATTAGAGATCTATCTATCTAGACTTTACAAGTTGTTCTCTTTCCACATCATAACATTGAGTCTTGAGTATTTTATTCTAGAGTTTTAGTATCGCAATAAATAAATAAATAAATAATTGCGATTGTCTTTAATTTATATCACAAAAAATTCCTAGCCTGCATTTTTTCACAGTTTAGTATTTCACAGCTGAGGTTTCTAATATTCGGCGAATTGCATACGATAATGAATACTTTATTTTCGCTCATCAAGCAAGGTCAAGGTTTTGCTAATTTTACTTATTAGTTTGGTTGATCAACTTCCAAATTTGCTTCCTGCACGTGTGGATATTCTTGTCCTTTCTAGCTTTATATTTGCACTTCTGTATGATCTTTAGTATGCTAGAATTCTCATTTTCTAAGTTAAAAAAGTAAAACGAATACTCATATTCCGAATTTTCACCCTTTGCAAAGGAAATCCGTAAGAGTTATATAAAAGTTATTTAAGGTATTTTTTTTGGGGGGGTTTTTTTTTTTTTTTTTTTTTTTTTTTTTTTTTGTCTTTCTTTCCCTTGAGGAAATAGAATGATAGGAAATTAGTCCTTTACTTGCCACACAAGTCTAGTAGATGATTCTCCTCCTGTGTTGTACTTTGTTTACTTTATGCAATATGACGTTCTAAAGCCCACATTTGTTGCAACATGCATAGCGACCGTAGTGGAAGGAATTCAAATGATTTTTGTAAGAGATAAGCCTGTTATAATTGTGATTTAGGCAGTTCCTCGATCACCAAAGCTGTAAGACTTAGATGAATGATCTTTTGCTTATTGCTCCATTAGTCATAAGTGTCTACAGTTTCGATACTTCTATTGATTGGTTCTTTAGCTTCTTAGTGCTCTTTATGTTTTTGTTACAGTTCAAATATTGGGAAAGGGTTCAGAAATGGAAGAAAAATCTGAGTTCAGCAATGAAAAGAAAATTAAAAAGGAAGAGTTCCATGTTAAAATGAAGACCAAGGATATAGATGTTGAACCGGACGAGAAGAGTGAGTTGGAGCTTGGATTGGAGATCAAGTCCGTCGAGAAAGTAAAGCCAAAGCAGAAGAAAGAAAAAGAGGATGAGCATGAACATAATGAAGAGGAGAAACCAAAAAAGAAGGAAAAGGAGAAAAAGGAGAAAAGGGAAAGAGAAGAAAAAAAAGAGAGACGAAGATAAAGAACTAGAGAAGGAGGAGAATGATAAGGAGATAGATAAAGAACCAGATGAGGAAACAACAAAAGATGAGAAAAAGAAAGAGAGAAAAGATGAGAAAGGGAAGGAAAAAGAAGAGAAGGAAAAGAAGAAAACGAAAAAAGACACTGTGCAAGTGGACGATACAGAAGAAGAGAAAGAGAAAGAGAAAAAGAAGAAAGACAAGAAAGCGAAGAAGAAGGACAAACATGAGGAGACAGTAGAAAACAAAGATGAAAAACTAACTGAACGGGTTGATTCTAAACCAAAAGAGAAAGAAAAGGACGAAGTGTGTGAAGAGAAGGAAGCGACGGAGAATAAGAAACATGGGAAAAAAGAAGGTGAGGATAAGGAGAAAGAAGAGAAGAAGCTGAAGAAGAAGGATAAAGATAAAAAGGAGAAGAAGCAGAAGGATGGAGTGGATAAGGGAGTGGATAAGGGGAAAGAAGAGAAGAAGAAAGAGAAGAAAGAGGGGGGGAAGTCTAAGAACCACGAAGAGAAAGAGGTTGATGAAATGCACGATAAGAAGCAAGGGAAGGAGAAAGAACATAATAAATTAGAGAAGAAGGAAAAAGATAAAAAAGAGAAGAAGCATGCAGAGAAAGTAACAAAGGGAATGGGGGATGAAGAGGAAGAAGAGAAGAAGCTAAATAAGAAAGATAAAGACAAAAAGGAGAAGAAAAGTGAGACGGTGGATGGGGGGAAGAAAGATATTGATGATGATGATGAGAAAGAAGGGAAGAAGAAAGAGAAAAAAGACAAGGATAAGTTGAAAAAGAAGTACAAGGATGAAGAGAGTGAGGGAAAGCATGTTGCTGAAGTTACCTCCAGGGACATTGATATAAAAGAAGATGATGGCCAAGAAGGAAAAAAGAAGAAAGAGAAGGACACGGAGGAGGAGAAGAAATACAAGGATGAAGAAGAGGAGGCGAAGTGCGGAGCTGTTGTAACTGCTTGGGATGTTGACATAAAAGAAAACGTGAAAGAATCGAAGGATGAACGTGAGGAAGATCAGCATATAAGAGAGACAAAGGTTGGTAAGGAGAAGGAAGAAAAAGACAAGAAGGAGAAAGGGGATAAGAAAAGAAAACTTGATGGGAAGGACAAGGGCAAGGATATTGCCAAGCTCAAACAGAAGTTAGAGAAGATCAATGGTAAAATAGAGACTCTCCTTGAAGAAAAGGCAGACACCTTGCGGCAGATAAAAGAAGCTGAAAATGTAGCTGCTGCTGAGAAGTGATTTCGCTGTAAGATATAGCATGTAGCTGAGCTACAACTTGCGTGCTTATTATCATGGTGGTATTTTTCTTTTATGATGTTTCGTAGAGGTACATATTTTATGTGAATAAAGTATCGTTACTACTTGTATTGAATAAAGCTCTATGCAATCAGGCTTTCATGTTTTGCACTTTTACCGTTCTATGTCCTTGATACGAAAAGTCATTTATCTACACTGTAATATTTCCTGTGCGAGTCTTGATTCAGGTCCCTCATAAGAATAGCATCTAGACATGTCGTAATTGGGGGGACTTAAATGGTGGCAAGGATGGGGATCTGTGAGTTCAGTATCGTGGCGGGGACAGAGGCAGCACCCTGTGCCCCGACCCCTGACGTAACAAACTTGTTCTATTTTTTTTTCTCGACTTCTGTATAATATGTAACCTTTGAAACATTTTTTTTTTTTTATCTTAATTATAACCCTAATCACTTCACCATTCATATAATATGACTATGGTTATAGATATTTAGATTCAAATTGATAAAAGAGGCATGTAAGCAGTATTGATAGACTTGAAAGTAAGGTATTCTCCAAATGTATACTATTTAATAACTTGAAATCAAACATTGAAACTACTTTGATGACAATAGTGGGGGCAACGGTGACAACTTAGCAAAAGTGACCGGAAAAAAAGGGGGAGTGATTTAAATAGACTAGAAAGTCATTTTCAAACTTTGGCATTGTCTCCCGTGAATCAGAAAAATGTTTTCCTCATCAACCATATAACTCTTTTAGGTGCCAAGTTTATTTCAATCTCAACAATAACCAATGAGATATAGGAGTTAACTCTGCTTCTGTAAAAAAAAAAAAAAAAAAATGACATTATGTTGTTGCTCCTGCTACCAATGGCCTTTTTAATTGGCTTTGGTAGGTTCTGTAGTAAGGCCGAATCCAAATGGGAAGAGTGGATCGTAATGCAGATCTCCAAAGTTCATGGGGAGTTGGTCAACGGTTTTGAACCAAGTCCGGGGAAGCTTTCCGGTGAACCCATAATCTCCGAACAAGACATCGGCAACACCTTGTCCTTCAGTTCCAGGAAGCCAAGCAGCAACAAGAGCATCTATTTGTGCAACATAGGGTTGGATCACAACAGGGCGGCCCGAGATGACTATAACAATACATTTCACAGCACCGCACACATTTGTGATGGTGCTAGGGCCAGGCTCAGGGATTGTCAAGTTCAAGCTGTCACCGAATGTTTCTGCATACGGGGGTTCTCCTACCACGACAATGGCATAGGAGAATTCGTTGGACTTGACAAAGTTTGCATCCGGGTTTTCCAAGTACACCACTTCGGTTTTTGGATCAACAGTGTTTTTTATGGCTGTGAGGATTGTGGTACCTGTTCAGTACAAAGGTTCGTGTTAAGCATAGTTGATTATGAGAAACTTATTAAACTTCTAGAATTCTGCAATGTTCATTCATAAAGCGTCTGATTTGCATACTCTTTAAATCATGCTATGACATATTGTTTAGAAATACACACTTTCGAAATGGATTTTGTTCTTTTTTATGCTTCCAATATACCTGAAGTGAGGTTGTTGCCAGTTAGTCCTTGCCATTCAATTGTCCAACCACCACACTGATTACCCAGATTGTCTGCATGAGTACCAGCAACTAGAATCTTTGGTGCCTTCTTTGGAAGTGGTAGCACCGGGTTATCGGCATGTTCACCATTTTTCAGCAACACGAGAGATTTTCTGACAGCTTCCCTAGCCAACTCTCTGTGCTCCTGTAACATAGAAGCACAAATTACGTTGAATATTCGACCAATCCAATCTAGTTTGGATATCTAACCTACATTAAATTCGGTTGGATGTCAAAACCGAAAATCCAATTGGATTAATTCTTATTTTCATCGAGAAAATCCATTCATCCATAATTGGCGTCTTAGGCTTCTGATTAACTTACTTACCTGACTACCAAGCTCATGGACAAGGCTGTAATCAGCCAGTGGTTTCTCAAACAGACCCATTATAAACTTAACCCTCAAAATCCTCCTCACTGCATCATCAATTCTGCTTATGGGAATAATCTTATTCTTCACCTGGTAGGTTAGACCATCTATGAACTCTGTATAGTTGTATGGAATCATGATCTGTAACATATCCCGACAATGTGTGTAAGAACAAAGTTTAATGCAAATATAAGGGAATAAGCAAATTTTCAATAGAATTACCATGTCAATGCCGGCACTAACTCCTGCTTGAATAGAGTATGAGTAGTTAAGATGAGGCGGTGAGGTGATCCTATCGATGCCCTGCCAATCCGAGATAACAAACCCCTGAAAAGGATTTAAAAGCTTGTTAGATTGTTTATCATTTTGCCAACCAAGATGGTGAAGAAGCTGAAGTGAAAGTTGCGCAAAATACTGATTTTTCCGTCTTTTTTACCCTAAATCGAAGAGTGTTCTTGAGGAAACCGGTGATAAGTTGGCGGTTGGCATGCATCTTTTCTCCGTTCCAGCTCGAGTATGATACCATAATGGTTGACACACCCTTGATGATAGCGTTGTAGTAGCCACCCATGTGAATGCTGAGCAAACCATGTCTGTTTATCACAGTGTTGTTCTCATTGATGCCTTTCGTCGTTCCGCCGTCACCCACGAAGTGCTTTGCACAAGCTGCTACGTTTTTGCTGTCCATTATAATGGTGAAATAGTCAAGTACAAACAAAGGACTAGAGTAAAATTAAACAAACCACTAGGGAGTTTGAGAGATTGGTTCCAATGACAAAGATTTGAGTATTTTTCACAACAAACAAATTTTAATTTGTATTGTGATGCTTAATCTCTAGTAGTTATGAAATGGTCCAACCTTGGTAGAATGGCAGGACTATTTAGTATCTCATGATACCGTGGAAAAATACTAGTTTTACAGTTGATGTGGATAGCATTTTAGAGAACGAGAGAGGGAAGTGGAGGCAATTTGGAAAAGAGGGATAGTTCTGGTAATTGACTTAAAAATCCACTATTTTTCGTGAGCCATTAGAAAGAGGGGGCATTTCCTTTTACACCCTTAAAGTATCTTAGACAGATTCATAAAATAAGACATATATAAGCTAGTCTTTGCTCCTATCAGGAGGACCATATTACCACGTAACATGTAGAATTGGGAAGGGCAACTGACATTTATTTAAAGCAATACTAACGTTGGAAAGTTAAAACAATAGTTTGGGTAACTAATAATAAATGTCTTGGTGATACATATTTGATGCCTTCTAATGTTTCATACTTCAACATGTTAGCGGAATTACGCGTGTGTATATAGAATAAATTCCATTATTGCACCCCTAAACTATTCATTTTTTTTATAATTGACCCTGAACTTTTAATTTAACAAATTGCATCCTAAACTTTAAAATAAGTAGCAATTAAGGTCTAATAGCTAATGAACTTATCAAATTGACGGGTTAAGACATAAAACTTGCACATAAAAGAAGAAATTTATTATTTTTAAATCATGTCATGTAAATCATGTGCCTAGAACTATTTTTTATAACGCCATTACCTATTGTATTTTAATTGCTACTGATTTTAAAGTTCAGGATGTATTTTGCTAAAATTAAAAGTTCAAACTCCATTATGGAAAAAAACAAATAGTTTAAGATGGAACAGCACAATTTACTCCTACGTGCGTACGCACATACACACACACACACATCTATATGGCAGCCTGCAATCCAAATATACAACCAACACCCTCTTTGTTTGCTTAATTGCTTCCAACCAAGACATTCCTGAAAAGGGAAAAGCATAAGGCTTCTAAACAGACCCAACCCTCCACACACGCACCAAATTACGGTGATGCATCCAAATGAATCTGTTAAGATCCTAGTTGAGTCCCACATTGTTAAAGTATGGGCTTAGCATGTGGGTTTATAACCATTTGGATACCCTCTCCTTACAAGCTAACTTTTGGGGATGAGTTCTACCCAAAGGTTATAACAGAATCTGAATCTGACCAATTGCCCATACCCCTTTTCCTCCCCTTCCAAGCAAAAGGTGTCCATAAATAAATATTAAACAAATAAAAAAGGAAGAAAATGAATGTTGTTTGATAGTGGGGACCAAGAAAGCATTCACCACGTCAAATTCAACGCCTAAGATAATAATACTATTTTTATGTTTTTCTTAATCTTTCCTTTCTATACATCACGGCAAGTTGAAGTATACCATTATGTTTTGGACCAATCACTTGTCCAAGATGTCAACTTCACAAGGACCATTTCAAATTCAAGTCAACAATTAGAGCTAAGCTCTATTTCCGTATTATCCTCAATCTTTTGTGAAAAAACTCATAAATGTTGACCAAAAGTAATATTAGAAAAAAAAAATTAAGTTTATATAGACCTGTGACGTATTATAGACCAAAGAATGACAGAAAATCCAAGAATTAAATGTCTAGAGTAGTTAACTTTTCTCACATTAAAAGAACTAGATTTTCATATTTTCTTTTTATTTAATATGAGTTCTGCAAAGATTCTACTCGGTTAGATCTTCGATTTACTTCACATTGTTTGTTGGATCGCCATTTGAAGGAAACTAGGGGAATTTTTTTTTCTTTTCCTATTTTCGTACCTTTCAGAAAATTTGAAAATGAATAAATCTTGATCTATATTTAGAAAACTCAAATAAGAACAATTTTATGTAGACGTGATGTACAAGAGACCAAAGAATGACCAAAAGGAAGAACATAAAATTCCATGAACTAGAGTTCCATGATTCAAGATAGATTATACCTTATGCGAGTTCTATATTATATAGATACAAATATATACGTATATATATATATTTTTCAGAAATCCTCCGAACTGTGAGCCTGAGTTTGAACTGATATGTGAGTTCTATAGCCACTTTAAATTATAACATTTTGATGTGAGAGTTAAAAAGGTTTTTATCGTACGTACTTTCCAGCAACATATGGAACACCCTTGCGAGAGTTGGCAGGTAATTCTCCTTGTAATGCAGATACAATCTCTGTCATTGCTCTCACAATCTTTGGGTCCTCACTGTAACTTTCGTAACATCTGCCCCATCTCGGATCCCTACAAACCTGTATAAGCATGATTTAAGTGAGACAGACGACTGCAACTGGGAAATTAAAGTTATAAAGAATTCGAAATGATCAAATTTTCGATTGAACTAGTTAGTTACCGCTATGCAAGGTGCGAAAACGTATTGGATGCCGGTAGCTCTAACTTCAAGTGCAGTTGCAGCTCCTATCCGCTTAACAAGCTGAGGGTCCCTGCTTGATGATAGCGAAACTCAATCTTATTTTGATTCAATGCAGTTCCAAAATTAGCATATCAAAAGATAAAGAGTTATAAAATCTAAATGTAATTGTTCTAGGCAAAAAGCTATTATCAGATATCAGAATGGGCTGACATAAGGCTATCTCCTTATGTCAATATCTGTTATCATTACCACTACTTCTACATGATTATATTTACAATTATTGTTCTTGATGTTATTATCAGTTGCCAATTAGAAGTCAACCATTAATCCGGTGGATGTTTTACTTTGAAACTGATCACATCACCACCTCAATTTGCATCACTAAGGACTTGTTTGAAAGGAAGGAAATGTGAAAGGAAAGGATATTAGAGGAATGAAAACAAACAAACCAAGATAAAATGGTAATTGAACAAAGAAAAGACTATTTTCTTGTCTTCCCTTACTATTTATACCACATATGACAAGTCACATTTAATTTTCTTTCCTTCCTTGAGATCTCTTCCCTCTCCATTTCCCTCACCTCACTTATTTATCACTCCTTCCCATTTCATGTCCCTCCAATCAAAACAAAGCCTAAAGATTAGCAAGATTGGATTGAGAAAATGTTTATCATGACAACATATCTACTTGCCTTGTAGCACCCAGACCAACATTGTGTGGAAATATTGTTGCCTTGTAGACATTATTGTTGCCATGAACAGCATCAATTCCGTAAATCATCGGAATCCCGAGACGGGTCGACAAAGATCCTCTCTGAAAGTCATTCACCATGTCAACCCAAGCCTCTGGTGACGCCTCCTTGGCCGGAACACTTCCTCCTCCACTTAGTATACTACCTGCAGGAAACAGAATTAACAGGAAAAAAGGAAAAAAAAAAAAATGCAGTGTTACCTTAATTATTATTTTTCTAGGGGAAAAAGAGAAGGACGAGACTTAAGTCTCGTTCACTTTGCGAATTTGAGTTTTTAATTTGAGCTGAAATGTGATATTTTCTGAGAGGTTTTTACTGTAGCAGAAAAAGTTAGATATGACATTTTTTAAGAGCTTTTTACTGTAAAAATCTAAAATTGAAAATTCGAATCGGTGAAATAAACGAGGACTTAAAATTTTTACCAATTTTATACTTCTTCATCACCTCAAATGAGGCAACAGTGCGGTCAATCTGCACCATTTGACCAATCTTCTCCTCCAATGTCATCCGGCTAATTAGATCCTTTATTCGGATATTTATCGGCTGCTTTGGATCTTTGTATTTATAATGCTTCTCTGAAGATTCTGCCATGGCTGCCCAGAAAATCACGAGCAGAAGTCCCACCAAGAACTTGGCATTCCTTGCCATTTTTCTTTCTTTCCTTCTTCTGAATCCAAAATGCATATTACAATACATGAAGGTGTGAGTACTCATTAGAAAATCCTGTTTAGGGAAAATTCTGGAGAAACAATTATTTGTACAGATTTGAGAAATATATTACATATATTTATGTGTATATAATATTATTAGAGATTAAAAACAGCCATATGCAAAGTGAACTAGTTTAGATTCTGATGAGAAGAAACGCAAAAGATATATATTTTGATCTCAACAAATGAAAAACTACAAATCAAATCAAATCAAATCCCATGAAAGACATTATCAAGCCATGAACATAAACAAACAAAAAAAATGAAGAAAAGAGAAAAAAGAATTACAAGTATGAACTTATATGTCGATGTTTTTACTTTTCTATGTAATGAGGAAGAATTCAAACTAAACATATACCCTCACAAAATATTTATTCTTTACAAACTTTTTCTTGGGAAGCAAACAGGCGTTAAGGAAGTGAAAAAAGCAGATGCAGAAAGTAGAGAGTACACAGAACTTACTGAAAAAGGACAAGAATATTAACCAAACAACACCCAAAATCGATATAGCTTCTGCTCTCTAAAAAAAAAAAAAATAGAGACCAGAGAGAGGATTTTCTTCAGAAAAGAAATGTGAGCAAAGTTGCAACTGGGAAGAAAACTGAAGGGTGAGAAATGGAATTTATAGAGATTTGTCGCTTAGGATGTAAATGCTATGCCTATGCTATAACTAATTAACAATTCTCCACATTCCATGCTAAAAATCAGTCACGGAATCCAAAATTAAAATCCACTATAAGACGAATTTTGAAATCAAAATCATTTTAAAATATATTCCTATTAATTAAGATAAAACCCTTCAATTTTTTTGCTAACCGAGAATTGTCCCATTTTTAGCCTCAATAATATTGATTTGATCAATATTTTGTATATCTTTTTATATTTTTAGCTAAATAGATTTCTAAAATATTACAGGGTTATTTTCTATTTTACACCTTGTTTATGAGTTTATTAAAAAAAAAAAAAAACTTACATTTTGGATATTCTCAAGATTGTGTCATTAAATTTTAAATTTATATCAAAATTATACCTTTTTTTGGCTCAATAGTTGATTTTGAAATCTAGATTGAAAAAACTAACCCTTTACAACTTATAAATGATCCTGTAATTTTTCTTTTAAAAAAAATGGAAAATTATATTTTCGAGTTAAGATGCAAATGATAAATTCTTTAATTAATGTTCTATTACCGGTTGGGGATAACTTAGAAAAGGTAAACTCGTCAATTCAAGTTCTAATCTTGACAGGAAAAAGTACAAATATATCATAAATATATAATTTACAAGGACAAATTTTAGAACATCCGAAAATAAAATAAACTTAAAATTTAGGTATAAGAAAATAAGTATTCCGAAAAAATAGTTGTAACAAAATTATATGAAACATAATAGAAAGAGAATATATATATATATATATATGTATATATATATATATTTTTTTTCTTTCTTATATATTTCTGTACTACTATTAGAAAGAAATGAACAAGACATAAGAGAGAATCTAATATTCAAGTAAAGCTAATATTTATTGACTAAAGAATTAATAGGTCTCATATTTATTGAGAAAGCATCGTGTTTGTTTATTAAAATAATTGGTAATGTATATATTTATTGAGTAAATGCATTATTTCTTTACTAAATTAATTAATAAATCTCATTTTTATTGAGGAAATCATCTCATTTTCTTAATCATTTTTTTTTAGGAATTTTCTTAATCGTATGTTGGGCAAGTATAAAATTTTGTTACTTTTGCTGTAAAAAGCCAAATCGTTAATCGTCATTAAATTTAATTAAATTTATAAATTTAGACCATTTAATATTTTTATCGAGTTTGATTGAAAAATACATATTGTTTTTTATTTTGATAATAATTATTATGTGTTTATGATCTATCTGTATCCGTTACATTATTATCCTTTTTTTAATTTTTATCAATAAGATAACTCTTTTTTTATCATTAAGATATATTTTATTCTCCGTACAGAATTTATTTATATAAACTTATTTTTTTAGGGTATATTTATTTATGGTAATATTTATTTTTTTTAAATGATATTTATTTATTTATTAGAGGAAGGTAGACTACGAAGGTTTTATTTATTTATTTATTTTCTTCTTTTCTGTGGTTTTGATAAGCGAATGTGAAAGTTAGCTTACTGGACCGAATATGATGAAGTTAGGTACAGGTACTCTTGGAAGTTGCGCCCAGCTGTTACTTCAATTAATTCGTGTTAAAATAAAATAATCTGAGAGGTTTTTTATTAAAATATTTGGAGAATTAAATATTGGGGCCTTTTTTTGTTGTTGCAAAAGTACTCCTATTGAACAATTTTATCTTTTTCGTTGCCCGCTCCTAATGTTAGGTTTGAATTAAGATTGGAGTTGGGTTATGCTATGATTATACTTAAATTTTATCCAATTACAAACTAATATATAAATATAATATGATGATAAACATAGTATATTGTAATTTATTATAAACCAAACACCTTATTATATAAAAATTATACAATACAAATATTATACGATACAATTACAATACGATGCATCAAACATGCCTTAAATAGTAAATAACATCACTTTAAAGTAAGGTAATAAATAACATAATTATTTTAGTTAATTAGTAAATAACAAATTCTTTAAAAAACTTATTTGTTTGGTAAGAAGTTACAGGAAGTCAGAGTGTTTGGTAAATCCTGCTTTTATTCAGTAGCTTTTAAAAATTATTGCTAAACATCAAAATTTGAGAAGTAGGTTATGAGTTACTTTTGCACAGTTGTTTCTGTTATTATTGTCTAAATTTACTAAAACAACCTAAATAATAAAACTTATTCTCTTTCTAAAGTAGGATTAAAGGTAAACTTCAAGGACTATTTATGAGATTAATCTAAATAAAAATGAAACTAATTGTAAATATATAGGATAAAGTATGTTTATTATTGTTATTATACAGATCCACAATAATTTTATACATAATTTAGCAAACACCTAAATATTTGTATCTGATATTTACGACACCTTTGAAAAAAAAAATACCAATCATCTACATAATTCTAATCACAACAATTTCTGACTAATAACAAAATTTTTTTAACAACACAACAATACCAACTGGCCTATCTCCGCTCCCGAACCAAATCTTTATGTATTTAATTCGGGCAGTTCAATCTCACAGTCTGTTCACATGTTGCCGGCTAGCCAGGTTACATTAATTAGAGATCCTGAATTCTTATTTGGAGATCGAATATGTATTTGTTGAAGTACTTTAAAAGTCAACATGTTTATTAAAAGTAAACATTAACCAAGATACATTACAGTTTACCTTTAAAAAAAAAAAATGCATTACAGTTCAACAATAAGTATTAAGTCACAAGCATTACACTAATCTTCATCGGTATGAAGTGATCGGCTTTATTTTATTCAAGGAAAAAGCACAAGACGGTTTTGACATTTTTTTTTTTTTTAAATTTTATGGCAGGCTTAATTTAAAAAATATTTTATATTTAATATGAATCTTTGAGGGATGAGTTTTTTACTGGTGGGTGCGGATACCCAGCTTGAATAGAGCGGGCTATGGGGGTTGTTAAATAGGAAATAGGACGAGTATGAAGATTTGTATTGTCCTCCAAAACAAGAGGCGAGACATGGATTATGAATTATAATAATACTTTATAAATATGGGAGTGTCAGGACCGAGTCTGCTTGATGATGGACGTCGAGCACGAACTTCATTCAAAGCCGGCATGGCGTTCACGAACTTCACTCGAAGCGGGCGTGGCGTTCTTTTGGGAAGCCGCCCGTCAGGTTCTTGACTTGGTTGCCTTGATTGATCTTTGAGACGTTGTTAAATTCCTTTTGACTGAAAGGGCGGGAGCCCTTCTTTTAGTGTCAAATTGTTGACGGTAAAATTTCACCTACAATCAAAATTCAAAAGAAAAAGCAAAAGAGTAATTGACACCAAGAAAACTTAAGAAATGAAAGGAATTTTTATTGATTTTCTCTGAAAAGACACTCTCAAGAAGACAATTTCAAAAAAAAAAAAGAAAAGAAAAAGACTAAGTCGCTCTCAGACTCCAAAATTTCACTATTATGTGTTGATGGATTAGGATGAGAAATAATTATATTTTTACTATTATGTGTTGGGAAAATATTTTGTTTTCACATTCTATTAGGTGTGGGATTCACGAGTGAAAATGAAGGGCACGTGTTTGTTGAGAAAAATGCATGTGTGTATTGTCTCACATTAAAAATACATGGAGATGAGAAATGATTTATATATATATGTAAAGATTCAAGACCTAATAAGATAACTTTTTAAGCTAAGATAGCTTTCGTTTAGAGAGTGATACTTAGAAGCTCTTAGAAACTTTGGTTTGAGGAGAGCTCAGTGAACACATGCTTGACCGGAAAATTGTTAAGAATTGTGTGTTTCCCTATTTTTTTCCCTACATTGTTCAAAACCGTCGGAAAAGAATTGTGTTTCCCTACCTTGTTCAAAACCGTCCTCTAAGAGAACGGTTCTCCATCATTTTTGTTAGTGGATACTCATTACACTCCTATAAAAACAAATAATTAAAGTTTATTTATTTATTTCTTTAATACTAGGCTTCAACCTTTTGTTCGCTTGTAAATTGTAGTCTGTTACATTCAATCCCATAAAGCGACCTGGACAAGTATTAATGTATGAAACAAATGAAATAAATTTTATTAATTGTACAAATAAATGTCAAAGATTACATAAATCTATTTTGCTTTAGAGCATTAATATTCCTAACAACTAATTGATACAATATACAAAGAATTTCAATCTCAATTTCAATTTTTCTTTTGTTTTTTGTTCATTTTATTCAAAACGAACTAACAAATCGTTTTCTAGAGTACATGGGGAATAAATTTTGGTTATTGTTAGGTTTTGTAGTGAGGCCAAATCCAAACGGGAAGAGTGGGTCATAGTGTAGATCTCCGGCGTTCATGGGGAGTTGATCAACAGTTTTGAACCACGTGCGGGGAAGCTTTCCGGTGAAACCATAATCTCCGAACAAAACATCAGCAACACCTTGGCCTTCAGTTCCAGGAAGCCATGCAGCAACAAGGGCATCTATCTGTGAAAGATACGGTTGAATCACAAGCGGACGACCCGTGATGAGTACAACAACACATTTCACGGCTCCGCAAACATTTGTAATGGTGTCTGGTCCGGGGTATGGTAATGTCAAGTTCTTGTTGTCTCCGACTGTCTCTGCGTAAGGATATTCTCCCACCACAACGATGGCGTACGAGAATTCATTTGACGCAACGAAGTTCGCATCAGGCTTCTCATTGTACACCACTTCGGTCGATGGATCAACTGCATCTTTTATGGCACTGAGGATTGTACTACCTGAAATGTAAAAAAAGAAAGAAAAAAAGAAAAATTTATTTAAAGGTTCTTATTAAGTTTAGTTTGTTTAACTTCTGTTCAGTTTAGTTGATAATATTGAAGAACAAACAATTAATGGAACTACTTATTGTAAATTATTACCTGTTGTGAGATCGTTACCACCTAATCCATTCCAACCAATAGTCCAACCACCACACTGATAACCCAGATTGTGTGCATGACTGCCTGCAACTAGAATTTTCGGCGTCTTCTTGGGAAGGGGTAGCAGCGGCTTGTTGTCAGCTTCACCATTTTTTAGCAGCACTAGTGATTTTCTCACAGCTTCCCTGGCCAACTCTCTATGCTCCTGTTAAAATTCAGATAATGTATTGAATTAAAATAGATTCGAGAATTCACAAAAGCACCTTCAAAGATTATTATTGCCGTAAAACTAGTGTGCGTCTAATTTTCTAATTATTAGACTAACCTTTTTGCCAAGCTCATGAACTTGGCTAAAATCTGCAAACGGCTTCTCAAATAGACCCATGAGGAACTTCACCCGCAAAATTCTCGTCACCGCATCATCAATTCTGCTCATGGGAATAATCTTATTCTTCACTTCCAAGGTTAAGCCGTCGATGAACTCCATGTACTTCTGTGGTAGCATGATCTGTAAAATGTCATGAATAGTAGGATTAGAATTAAAAGTGACTTTATAAAATGTTTGAAGCAACAAGAAGTGAGGAAGCAAGAAGCAGTAGAGTTTATAACTTAATTACCATGTCAAGGCCAGCATTAATCGATGCTTGAATGGAATACGAGTAGTTAGCACGAGGTGGAGAAGTAATCCTGTCAATGCCTTCACAATCAGAGATGACGAAGCCCTGACAAAATAAAAAAAAAATGATAAAAGGTTTTAGACCGCCCGCTTATGTTAATTTATGTCTTAAGAAAAAAAATGGTGAAGAGGATTAAAATTAAAAAGACTACTTTGAATTGGAGAGTGTTTTTGAGGTAGTCGGTGATAAGCTCCCGGTGAGTGTGCATCTTCTTTCCATTCCAGCTGGAGTACGACACCATGATAGTCATCACGCCCTTCTTGATCGAATCATGGAAGGGTGGCATGTGAATACTGAACAACCCCTCTTTGCTTATCACAGTGTCACCTTCATCTGTGCCATTTGTAGTCCCGCCATCACCCACATAGTGTTTTGCACAAGCTGCAACCTTTTTCCTATAAAGATGCAGAACCCGCGTTAGTAAAGCTCAACCCCTAACAAGCTGACAGATAAAATTCTAGTAGAATGCTTAATTAGTTCTTGAGATAAATTATTTCTAGGTCATGTCTTATATATATCATACTTATTAGATAAAGCAGAATAAATAGTTATGCGAACAATATTCTATCTAAACTTCTAATACTTCATTTGAGCAGATAAGTTTAGGTATTTTTAACACATCACTTGACATTGAAAGAAAACTAGAGAAAGTAGTATGAAAAATAAATAATATTTGTCAGCCCACCTTCTATGATCTTAAGCTTTTGGATGAATTGTTGACTTAAGAAATACTACTGTTGACTTAATAATATTATATGAAAAATTATCAGGCTCACGCGAAGAGAGAATGTTTAAAAAGAAATACTATTGTCGTCATATCTCCTATTAACTTGCGCTTTTGGGACGATCACTTATTAATAACATGTATAAATAAACGTACGGTGTCAAAACTTTAGAGGTGTACTAAGATTCTTACTCTCCAGCGACGAAGGGAAATCCTGTTGGAGAGTTAGCAGGTATGTCCCCTTGCAGTCCAGGTATCATCTCAGTCATTTCTTGGACAATCTTGGTATCCTCACTAAAGCTTTCATAACAACGGCCCCATCTTGGATCTCTACAAACCTACACACACAAGAAAAAAAAAATCATTTCGCACATCATAACAATTTTAAAAATCTCTGTTGTATTTTGATTATTTCATAACAAACAGAAAGTCATGAATAAATGCGTATTTGATGAGAAAAAAAAAATGCTAGAATTCGACTAATTACTTACAGCTACAGAAGGTGCAAAAGCATATGGAATGCCTGTTGCTCTAACTTCAAGTGCAGTTGCTGCTCCAATCCTCTTTGCAAGTTTAGGGTCCCTGGTTGATGCCAGAAAGTTAAACGGAAAAAAAAGATGAGTTTCTAGAAAGATCAAGAAGTTATTATTCAGCAATGATATATGTATCATGGTTGCATTCATTTCAATAATCCCACTAGTACCAATTCTAGTTTACACAGTCTTTTCTTTTACTGAACAAGAAATTTCTCATTTATGTTTGACAATATATGAAACCACTTGCCTGGTAGCGCCTAGACCAATATTATGAGGAAATATGGTTGCATTGTAGACATTGTTGTTTCCATGAACAGCATCAATACCAAACAACATCGGTATGCCGAGGCGAGTCGACAAAGCACCCTCTTGAAGTGTGTTCACAATGTTAATCCAAATCTCCGGTGAAGCCTTCAGAGCTGGAGAATTTCCTACTCCATTTAGTACACTACCTGCCAGAAACAGTTACAATATTGAATGTCAAATTTACTTGAGAAAAATAATTCTATTATCACCATTCGTGAATTCATGACCGTATATATATAAAAAGCTGAAGTGAAAGGAGAGAGATTAACGAAATACTGAATTTTTACCTATGAAGTGCTTCTTCATGACCTCTGGAGAAGCTAGACCGCGTTCAATTTGCGCCATTTGGCCAATTTTCTCCTCCAAAGTCATCCGGTTTAGCAGGTCATTTATCCGAACTTCTAATGGCTGTTTTGGGTCTTTGTATTTATAATAATTTGCATTTGCCATTGCTATGTATATTAAGCAAATCAAGAGAAGCCCCCTCAAAACGTTGGGATTCCCTGCCATCTTGTGACTCTGTTATTCGTGTTGCATACAGAAATAAGAATGCCAACAAGTAATAACGTCATTTTGTGTACAAGGATAGGAAGCTAAACCAAAAACATTAAGGAAAAAAAAAGGAAAAAGAAACGAAAAAGGAGACATGAAACTCAATAAAGAATAGATTATTATGCCTCGTTCACTTTGCGGATTCAAGTTTTCAATTCGAATTGGGATGTGACATTTTCTTAGAGTTTTTCACTGTAGTAAAAAAAGTTAGATGTGATATTTTTTTAAAACTTTTTATTGTAAAAACATAAAATTAAAAACTCGAATTAATAAAATAAACGAGACCTTAATGAACATTACAACTCAAAAAATGATTAATACGTGAACGTAAAGAAAACTTACACAAAAAGCAGACGAACAGACACCCAAGAATCAATAGCCTAAGCTCCCTCAGAATCAGAAATGAAGAAAGAATTTAATTTGTATCGAAAGACGAGACATTAGAGCGCCTTAAATAGAGAAAAAAGTCAGCCAAAATCTTTAGTCGTAAAACGGCAAATCTAATTAGGAATTAAAATAAAACCAATGGATTACGTCAGCTTTATTTAATTATAGCATTTACCTTTTCGTATAAGATGGCCTTGGAATTAAAGCGTACTCTAAGTCGTGCATATTTAATTTATATTTAATTTATTATGTTGACTTCGCGTCGTGTACGGATATGGATAAACTGTTTATACACGTGGCCTTTACGTGATTTTCAAATGCATGAGCGTCTGAACTATTTACGCACGTGGTCTTTCAATGTTTCGAATTGTGACTATTTAATTTTTGACTCTCTTGTAGCATATATATTATTACTCGAATGTATTTGTTTTTGTCTCTGGTTTGAAATTTAATGGGAATACTTGTGCTCCCGTCACATATATAGGAACGAAGTTTTACAAAATCAGTCGTATAAGGTGTGAAATACTCTATTTTTTAATTGGTTTTAAAGGCATTTTAGAGAAGATATTACACCTAATTGCGTTTAACATTTTAGGTTTTAAATAATCCTTATGATTATTTCTGTTAAATTTCAGGATTTCATTATTAATTTTAGGTAAGGACCAAATGTCAAAAACTAAATACAAAAGTATCTGCAGAAAACTTTAGAGAATGCTAACATATTTATGATTAGTTTCTTAAAAAAAAAAAAAAAAAAAAAGAAGAAAACAAAACATATAGCATAGCATAGGATCTAACAGTATCAAGAATCTTTGAAGAAAAAAAAAAAAACAACAGAGAAAAAAAAAGAAGAAGATAAGATAAACATATACATCTAAACCTTATCTACCAATTCCCTAAACTACCAAGTTAACGTGAATTGGTCTAAGATCAAATTAAATTTACTGCATGCATATGCGTTTCTAACTTGTCTTTTAATTACTTTGAATTAACAGACGTGCGTTTATTTAGTTTCTTTTTTCTTTTTGGATGAAGAAACAAATGATATTTTAATCCATACAAAAAGAGGTCATGAAGATGAACATTTGAAAGTCAAAACTACGGCGCAAAGAGATAACTAACTAACATTTGAAATGTCAAAACAGGTGTACATATGCTTTTGGTTGTTTTTAGTTTTAGGAATTTCTTGGTAGGAGCGAAAGAACACAAATTGTGTTAATCGTAAATGTTAGATTTACAGTGTAAACATAGGAATCACCATCATATCATAATTTTTGTTCCATGTAAAATAGTAAATTTAAGAATTATCATCAAAACATATACTATGTTTGGGTAATATTAAGGACACCAATAGTGCTGGAACTTCGGGTCGGCGGGCCGCCCGAAGCCCGAATTTTTTCGGGCTCGGGCGGGCCGGCCCAATTCCCGCCCGTCCAAGCAAGAAATTCGGGTTCGGGCTCGGGCAGCCCGGATTTGACATGTCCACCCTTGCCCGCCGCCGTCTAACCACCGTATACCGCCGTCCGCTGGGATTTTTTTGCATTTTTCTGACCAAGCCCGAACTGCCCGACCTGAAAATTGCCCGAAAATTGGGTGTGCCCGAATTGCCCGACCCGGAGCCCGAATTTTTGAATTTTACCTGAATTTTTCCCGCCTGCCCGACTTGCCCGACCCGCCCAAGGTGCCCGAATTACCCGAATACCCGAAAACGGCTCGTTTTTTGAATTTTTACCCGAATTCGGCCCGAAAACCCAAGTTGCCCGAACTGTCCGATCTGCCCGAATTGCCCGATTTGCCCGAAAACGGCTAGTTTTTTTAATTTTGCCCGAAA